CTCCCCCTCGCCGCCCTCCCATGCGTAGCATCACCTTCGACGATTTCATGTCCACCGGTCGCAATGGCCCCGGTGAGGCGGACTTCCCGCCCCTGGTCTTCGAGCAGCTGCCCTTCAACCACCCGGGCTTTATCCTTTTCTCTTCCGGCACCACCGGCAACCCCAAGTGCATTGTCCACTCCACTGGCGGGCCGCTGCTCCAGCACAAGAAGGAGCATATGATCCATGGTGATGTGTCCCCGAAGGATGTTGTCTTCCAGTACACCACCACCGGCTGGATGATGTGGAACTGGCTGGTGTCCACCCTGAGCGTGGGTGCGGCCATCGTCCTCTTTGACGGGTCTCCCCTCCGCCCGTCTGGCTACTACCTGTACCAGCTGGCTGAGGAGCTTGGGGTCACTTGCTTCGGCGCCAGCGCCAAGTACTTCGCCGCCATCGAGGAGGCCGGTATCCAGCCCAACACCAAGCACGATCTGTCGAAGATTCGCTCGGTCTACTCGACCGGCTCGCCCCTCAAGCCGGAGAGCTTCGACTTCATCTACGCCTACATCAACAAGGACCTTTGCCTGGGCTCCATCACCGGTGGTACCGACATTGTGTCTCTCTTTGCCGGGCACAACACCATGCTGCCCGTGTACCGCGGTACGTGCGGCTCGCCGTTCCTTCCCTGGCGCCTCCTCCTGGCAAGAAAGCCTCATTCATTTTTGCTGGAATTGCTGACCCTCTTGCGCGACCCTCCCCCGGCCCAATGCCGCCGCCGCCCTCCCTTCCCCCCCCCCCCCCCCCCCTCCGCTCCTGGTGCACTTTTGATGATGGCAACGGGCGGCGACAAACACAATTGTCTCTACAGGCGAGATTCAGTGCATCTGCCTCGGCATGAAGGTCGAGTGCTGGGATGAGGAGACCGCCAAGAGCGTTCCTCGCGGCAACAAGGGTGACTTGGTGTGCACCAAGCCCTTCCCCTGCGCCCCGGTCTACTTCTGGAATGACTCGGATGGCTCCAAGTATCGGTCGGCCTATTTCTCCAACTTTGAGAGTATGTCCGCCTGGCCTTTCCGCTTGTTGGCCCTTCTCCCGGAAGGGGGGAGGGGCCTATCGCGCGGCGCCCCCTGCCCTCCACCTTCGGCCCACTGCCGCGCCTCTGCTTGCTTACAAAACACATCCCACATATCCTTCCTCCCCATCTAGACGTCTGGTACCATGGGGACTTCATGGCAATCAGCCCCCATACCGGTGGTATCCTCATGCTCGGCCGCAGTGATGGCACCCTGAACCCGGGTGGCATTCGCATTGGCACCGCCGAGCTGTACAACCTGAGTGCGTTGCTGACGCGTCGCCTCCCTTCCCCCTGTCGCTGACATGTCCGCCCCGATTGCCCTGTCCCTATCTCTGGCTCCTCCTTCCCCCCTGCCAACGTAGCCTGATACTGACAACCATAACCACGCACACATACACCCATGCTGACCTGGCCCCTCCCACAGTCGAGCCCTATGAGCAGATCGCCGACTGCCTGGTTGTTGGTCAGCCCATGCACGATGACGAGCGTGTCATCATGTTCCTCCAGATGGCCGAGGGCCACGAGCTGGACGACAACCTCATCAACAAGATCCGGTGCGTGCGGGCTTGCACAAGCATGTGCCATATATTTATACATACACGCAGCGTCGCGCCTACACACGCTCCCCCGCCCGCCCCCCCCCCCTCTCTCTCTCTCTCCGCACCCACACCCGACCTCAGCTAGTCCAGCTCATGCGTTTGACCCTGTCTGCCACTGACCCTTCGCATCCATGCTCCCCTCCCCCTCCCTCAGCCTTCACATTCGTAGTGAGCTCTCCCCGCGGCATGTCCCCTCGTTCATCCTGCCGGTTGCCGACATCCCCGTACGTAACCCCCCGCCAACGCGCGCGTGTATGCTGCGTTTTTTTTCTCGTTTACTTTTCCCCTGCCCAGTGTGCACCACCCCCCAGGGCATCCACATACAAACACAAACACCGCATCACACGCGTGTTTGTGTGTGTGTGCGCGCGCGCGCGCTCTCTTGCTCTCTACTAACACCGCTACGGCTACGCATGCGCATATGTACGGCGTGTGTGTCCTCGTCGGGTGATGGGCGCGGCAAACAAAAAAAAACAGCACACTACCAATGGCAAGAAGGTCGAAGTCGCGGTCAAGCGCATTCTCGGGGGACAGGACATCGTCCCCAGCGGTGCCATCAGCAACCCCGATTCCCTGCAGATCTTCTACACCTTCCGGAACACCACCCTCAAGGTTGAGTAGATCCTGTGCGGGAACCTGCGAGTGTGCGTGTATCAGAGACAGAGAGAGAGAGACACACACACACAACCGACCGGCAGTGGAGGACGAGGGCTGGGCAATGCACATGCCGCACCGTACTTCGCGCGTGGCTTCCCCTTCCTCTGCACACATTAGACCCACGCAGAGCGTGCGGTTACTCTAGAGAGTGAGAGAGCGAGGCAAAGCAAGTGAGGTGTGTGTATGTGTGTGTATGTGGAAATAGCAGGACCATGCCATGTGCCCCCCCCCCTTGCCTTCCCTCGCGCGTGTGTGCGCGGTCGCTCTCCTGCGAATAAAACAGCATTCAGATGTATGTGATACCCACAATGTCGTCCGGCCTGGCGCCTCGCCCCACACCCACACACCACCCCCTCCATGAGTGAGTGTATAGGAGGGAGCATGTGTGGCTCTCACCTCGCCTCGCCTCCCCTCCCCTCCCTCCGTTGTCGCAGCAATCGCGAGGGAGGACCATGCATATTGATCCCTCTTCTTCGCCAAAGCCCTCCTTGTCTTTTTCCTCGTGGCCCAAAGAGAAGCACAGGAGGATGGTGCACCACCATTCCTCTTGCGCACGGGCGAGTGGTGGTGTGGTGGCGGGGCCCCTGTGGCGCAGGACAGGGGCAGCCCAAAGACAACCAGACAAAAGTGCCGCGATCGGGGGCTGTCTGACCAAACACTCCAGCACCTCGTTCTGGACCCTGTCTGGGCCATGTGGGGATCATGTGTTCTGTCTTTCAGAACGCCCGTCGTCGGTTGTCCCGGGCTTTTCCACACTCGGTGCTGGTGGCCATGGCGCGGCTCCACCGATCCCGGCCTCGGTGAAGCTGTCTTATCGGGCTTCTCTGGCGAAGGCCGATGGAGCCGGGCTCCGGACGCGCGTCCGGCCGGTCTGCCCCGTGCCTGGGCGGTGTGTTACGCAAACAGGTCCGGCGTGGACACGGGCAAGGAAAGCAGCACGCCGCCGATCTCGCCCAGACAGCCAGTTTCTCGGGCGAGAAAGGGGGGGGGGGGACGCGAAACGGTCGCCCAGCGGCCCCGCGGAGTTCGAGGCCCACCGGGAATAACCGGGCCAGGAGGTCCCAGGGGGTCTGCCCAGTCTCGGCGGCCCTCGGCCGCACCGGGCAACCAGTGCCCCCTGCAGGCCGGGGCCCTTGTGTGTAAGGCAGGGGCGGCGAAGAAGGGGGGGGAGCGAGGGGAGGCCGGACGACCCGAGCCCAGCCCCGGGGAGCGTAGACCGGGAGAAGTGGCCACCGGGCGGGACCGACGTCGCGGCCC